ATCGAGCATTGTACTCGAAAAAAATATCCAGGCAACTAATATCATTTGATTTGAAGTTTTTGAATCTTCACTACTCGAAAGTTTGAAAAGCAACTCATCTTTATCTTGTCTAAATGTTTGATTATTGATTACCGAATGTTTGAAATTTACATATTAACTATCTGATTATTTCATGCAAAATCAATTCCCGTCATTGTTTAAATCTCAATGCTTACACCGGGCTAGCTCTAATCGTAGCTGTAACTTAGTAAGCTCTATTCGTAGCTATCACTTAGTAAATGCATATATTGTCTCATTCGTGTCTCATTCGTTCTAAAATTCATTTTTTTACCCGCATTAGCATTCACACTCTATACATGGGTTCTTTTCTCAGTGTTCTTGATTAATCAAATATTCAAAAAGAGCGCTTTTGCCTACTAATTAGTGAATGCATATCCTCAAAAACTCGATTATTCAAATTTTTTCCAAGTCGAACTTACGAATACCAATTACCGTCTCAAAATATTTTCGGGAGAAGGGTTGACTAGAAGTTACTAAAGCGAATAGCGTTAGCTAATCCTTGAACAGTTTTGGGAAATTTCGGCTTCAGCGAGCTGAAAGCCCTAAGATCTGAAGAAGGGAGCATGGCCACGCGACTTTTTGGCACTATGAGGGCGTGATTAGCCACATAATAAAATAAGCAGAATCGAAATCATCAACTAACTTCCCCATGTGGATTGGCAAAATGGACCCTTCTCGGATTATGGTGGAGTTAGGTAGTAGACTCCCCTCTCAAGAACAGCCTAGCCCCAACCTCATCCTCCAATCCATGCGCTAAGTCCTGGAATGGAGCCCCAATTTCCACCAGCCCCGCCTACTTCCAGTGAGTGGGCGGGTCGGTGGAGTTTTGAAGCGCATTTTTTAGGACTTAGCGCGTGAATTACCAGGTGAAGTTTGAGCTACAGTGTCTTGGGGGTCTACTACCCAGCTCCACTAAAATCCGAGCAGGGTCCATTTTGCCTGTCCACTGTCTTCGAACCGGTCATCTTTGTATTTCTGTTCCAGATCCGCGTTATACTCTTGTGGTTGGTGGTACGATTGTAACCTGTGTAGTTTTGATGCCCGTTATGTGGCACATGTGGATTGTAGCCGGATCTGGCAATGCTAATTTCTACTTTGCCGTTACATTGATATACAATGTTGCGCAGGTTTGAAATTTGAATTTGATTATGCGGAGTCAAATTTTGAATTTGCAGATCTACTTAATGATCGACTTAATGTTCGCCTACTTCCGAAAAGAGGCAGATGAGATCTCAGCGTCATTGGTAACACCAAAGACCAATTTTGTACTTCATTGAACTGTGATTTTTCCATTTTGCAATTAGCTTTATGAATGATTCTTTTTTTTTATGAATAAACTCTGTGATATTGTCATTTACACGTTTTATTTACAAGACTTTGACTATGGAGAAGATAGTTGTTTGACAATAGGCTTTGGTCGATTCCGAAATATTATTCTACGTTTTATAACAGCATCAATAGTCATACTTCGTTCGTTAGAGTGCGGATCTTCACCAGGGGTTGATTTAACGACAAGAAATGGTTTCTCCAGTTCAGAAAGCTGAAT